GCACTAAGCACATATTCAACTTAAGGTTCATTCTTATTTGAATAAAGACAGGATTACCTGCTCCAGAAACTGATTTTTGTTCTTTAGGGCTTTCATTTCTTCCCTGTTCATAAGTCTTGATTACATGGATGGTATTGTGGCCAAGCAGGATTGGCAGGTGTGGGAGGGAGTGCAGTTATTATAAAAGGGGTAAATGAAATAAAACAAGGACTTCTTTTTAAGTCTGTGTGAGGGCTTCATTCTCTCAAAGTCACCAATGGTATTCGATATTAGATATTTATAATATGTACCAAGATATTTTAAAAAATCCATTCTGTCTGTTCAGATAGCTATTTAAAGATGTACCCAAGCACAGTTCAGGCATACATTTCAGTTCAGTGGGTTCTCGAATCACAGCTAAAATCCAAGCAAAGGGAGTTTCTGAGAGTCCACAGTTTTTCTTTAGGAGAAGACAGTCAGCACCATCTAGTGGATACAAATAACCTCTTTTCTTGAATTCAATCCAGCGAGGAGGTGAAGAGAGCAGTCTTTGGAACTTGGGCTGAAATCCCAGTGTCACTTCCTGAATGACTTCGGAAAACTTGACCCCTCTGTGCTCTGTTTCTCATCTATAAATCTGGATAATAATAGTGCCAACTCATCGGATGTTATGAAGTGAAGTGAAACAATGTAGCTAAAGCATGTCCTAAACACTTAGTAAATGTTATTTTTTTAAAATCCTCACCCTAGGATATTTTTCCAATTTTTTGTTCAGATAGAGTGGGAGGGAGACAGAGGAAGAGAGAGAGAGAGAGAGAGAGAGAGAGAGAGAGAGAGAGAGACATCAACGTGAGAGGGACACAGCAACTGGTTGCCTCCTGCAAGACCCCAACTAGGGTGGGGGACGAACTGCAACGGAGGTAAGTGCCCTTGTCTGGAATCAAACCCGCGACTCATTGGTCCACGGGCCGACGCTCTAACTGCTGAGCCAAACCGGCCAGGGTGTAAATGTTATTTTTTAATAACACTAAGCCATAGACTCACAGGAGGTGGGATCTGTCCAGTGGCACACACTTTTAACTGTCCTTCAAAAGAAATGACTATTTAATCTAGTTTGTAGACTCTATGAGGCTTAATGAGTTCCTCTTCTAGTGTGTTGTTGGGCTTGGCTGAAGTTTATGGTGAGAAAAAGGAAATTGGAGCAACAAGACTGGAATGGTAGTCGCAGCCCAGATGGAATACAATGTGAGCTCTCTCTCATTCATTCAAAATCTGACTCCACTCAGAAGGAGAATGTCAAGAGGAGAGAGAGACTGAAAACAAAAACAAAAACCAACTCTGAAACCAGCACTGCCATATGTCCCCAACCTGGAATGAGACCAGGGGAATTTTAGCTTAAAATATCTTGACTCTAAAAGAAATCTTCATGAATTATTTTGGAAGACATAATACTTCCTAGAATATGTTTTTTTAACACAATATTTCAGAAAACAGCATAGAACCATATGGCGTTCTCTGACTTTTATCCTCATATGATTTGTTTTGAGGGTATTACCTGCAATAGCAGACACAAAAGTATCTCAGAAAATCAAAAACAAAGACACAATTTTTTATGTACTAAAACACAACAAAATGCAATTTTTTAGAAGTTTGCCTTCAAGGCACATACAGCTTCTCAGCAGTTTGCAAAAACAGAAGCAGCAGGAAGTAAATAAAGTGAGAATGACAGAAGACAATCCAAGATGAGGTGAGTTTTATGCAAAATGTAATCAGCGGGGACTTGGTATGGAAAAGTTACAGTAAGAAGACTAAGTTTTTAATGAACCTGAATTTTCTTTTCACTTGCTTTATCTTATGTTGCAAATATTTTAAAAGCAAAAATTTTGAAAATGAAAACACCAGTTAATCATGGGCGCTGATCATACCCTAATTTTAGTTGTGTGTTCACCCTCCACACCCCCAAGAAATCTGAAATTTGTTGTTTTCTTAATGAACATCATTAGTTGTCAGAAATAAAAATGGACTGAATGGCCTTTATTTATGGAAAGTTAGAATTGCGCAGGCATTCGGAGATTATCTGGTCTCTAGCTACTCAAAATGGTCAATGGACCAGAAGCAACAGCAACGCCTGGGAGCCTGTTAGACTCTTTGGCCAGTCGACTATTTAGTATCAGAATCCAAACAATGGCATTCCTCCTCCTTATATAAAAAACAACAACAATAATAATAATAATAAAGCAGAGTCAAGGGAACAGAGGATAGGGAGTGAGGAGATGGGGAGAAATTATTTTATATAAGGTGGTAAAGAAAGGCTCACCTGAAAAAGCCACTTGAGTGAAGAGAGGAAGTCAGCCACATGGACAGCTGGGGAACGGTGTTCCAGGCACAGGAAGCAGGGGGCTGTGGTGTGTGTGTGTGTGTGTGTGTGTGTGTGCGCGTGTGTGTTGGGGGGTGGGTGTTCATACTGGAGGAACAACAAAGATTAGTTTTCAAATTCTCAATAGATATTAAAGAATTAAGTTGCCAGGAGTTCTCAAAATCTTGAGTTATTCTAAAATACTTCCAATCGCCTTCATATTCTTTCCTTGTTATCATGATTATCTGAAAAAAAATTTGTTAAAAAAATAAGAACTCTTATTAAAAAATGTTTTTATTGATTATTTTAGAGAGAGAGAGATGAAGGGAGAGAGAGAAACATCCATGTGAGAGAGAAACATCTATCGACTGCCTCCTGCACGCCCCCTACTGGGGATTGAGCCCACAACCCCAGCTGGTATCCAACTGGGATCTCTCAGTTCATGGGGTGATGCTCAATCCACGGAGCCACACCAGCTGGGCAGAACTTTTAAATTTAGAAGTGTTTATAAGAATTATCACCTATAGCAAATATTTAAATACCAGAGAACATTTGATTAATGTAATATACAAATCTCCAGGCAAGGTTAACAGCATTTGACTGAATCATGAATTAGAAACTGCCAATTTAAGGACTTATTTTGAATCAAACTTATTTCTGAACACCATTCATAGAATTTGTATAAAGTGTGCAATGAGTATTAACTTACTAATATTTATATTATTTTTTCAAGAATGACTCCCTGCCCTGGCTGGTTTGGCTCAGCGGTTAGAGCGTCAGCCTGCGGTCCACAGAGACCCGGGTTCGGTTCCCGCTAAGGGCATGTACCTTGGCTGCAGTTTGTCCCTGGCCCTGGTTGGGTCGTGTGGGTGGCGGCCACTCGATGTGTCCCTTTCACATCGATGTTTCTCTCTCTTCCTCTCTCTCTCCTTCCCGCTCTGAGTAAAAAAAATGGAAAAATGTCCTCTGGTGAGGATTAAAGAAAAAAAAAAAAGAATGACTCCCTGTTAGCAACAGACAGGGCCAGGAACACATACTTACAACATGGCACCAGCAGCTCCAAGCCAGACTGACCAATCAGATTGTGACTGCATCTCTCCCAGGTGCTCCTGTCCCAGATTCTGGAATGTTGACCTCACTTCTGACTCAGAGTATCAGCGTTTCCTGATCTTGCTTTCAACTTGACATCAGTGGATTCCCTCAGTAACGTCTCTATGTTGATTGCAAAGGTTCAATTCTCATAGGAGAATGCGACTATTTTCTCCAGTTTTCCTGATTTCTCAGCTGACTTTTTCTTTAATGTGGAAAAACATGAATTTCCTGAGAAATGCTGGGAAGAAATTCCTGTGTAGAAACACTAACAGAGGACAGCAAGGCTGAACCAGAGTGTACCAGGAAAGATTGGAGGTCTGAGAGAAAATGGAGGGCATGCTCATTTAGGACTGATGGGCATGGTAAGGACTCTGAGAAATGGGGAGCCATGGAGAGTTCTGAGCAGAGTGACATGGTTTGACTTAGGTTTTAAAAGCATCATTCAGGCCGCTGTTTGAAAGCAGTAGGAGCAAGGAAGGTGACAGTTAAAAGGTTATTGCAAAAATCTAGATGAGAGACCATGGCAGGATGTACCTCAATGGCAGCACTGAAGGCAGTGAGAAGTGGCTGGATTCTGGAGAGTTTAGATCTAACAGGATTGATACATTGACTGTAAAATGTGAGAGGAAGAGGAACTGAGGATGCTTCAAGGTTTTTGGTCTGAACCTGGCAGGATGGAGTTACCATTTACTGAGATAGATTAAGAGGGTTGTGGTGGTCGAGGGGACTGTGGAGAAGGCTGTTTTGTTGACATGTGAAGTTTGGGATGCTTCTCACATCTGATTGGTGATGTCTAAGTGGACATGTTACAATCAGATACAAGAGTGTGGAGTTCAGGGGGGAAATGTGGGCTGGAGATAGAAACGCAGTATTTAGCAGCATATGGATGGTATTTACAGCCAGCACTGCCCTAGATTGTAGTTGTGGTTTTTTGAGTAACTCACTTACCTCTTGTTTATTTGCTATGCCAAAAAACACTTAGAAGAATCCACATCCTACCTACCTAAACAATGAGGACAAAGGGGCCAAGTATGTGAAAATGCCTTGTAAACGCTAATGTGCTGTTCAGACTGGGGGAAAAAAAAACCAAACAACTCCAAAAAACCCACAGATATTTCATGGTACTGGGGATAAAGAAAATCAGTTTGTGGACTCAATGAAAGATTCTTCATGCACTGAGAATTTCAGAAACCGCAACTTCACATACATAATTTTTTTTTTTTTTGACTTGCACAATCTTGTGAAGAAGGAAATATCATTACCCCCATTTTACAGAGATGGAAACTGAGCCCAGAGAGGGTCGTGGACAGGCCAGGCGGGCACCACATGAATAGTGAGGGCCAGAACCACACAAGCATCCAGCCACCTCCTCCGAGTTCAGCCTAAACACGAACAAACCATTCCTTACCCACACTGCCCTCCTCCTCGCTGCCCCTGCCCCCCACGTCGCAATTCTGAATGGTACAGCCCTTTTTGCTTATCGCGAGACTGAGAAACGTCGTGACTCTGGTTGCCAGGGGAACAGCGTTCTATGAAGCAGGAGAGCTTTGGACTCGCAACTCCCTTCACCACCAGAGTAGGTAGCTGTCGTGGCAGGAAAGACCTCTTCCCCTCTTCCTCTTTGGGGGACAGGGGATGTGGCTCCGAGTGTCAGGTGCGCTTCTGAGCCCTCAGTGATCTGACGACTGGCGACTAGTTCCCGGAGTTTCCTCCTGGCTTGTGGGGAACCGCGCAGACTAGGAGCCGGCTCTACAGCTGTGCGACCAGCCAATGAAGGGGCGGAGCGCAGTCGTGTCGGGCGCCTGGCCCAGAGGCTGGCAGTTGGGGGCGGGGCCTGGGGGCCGGGGGCGGGGCCGGGGGGCGGGCCGGCGGGAGGGCGTGCCTGGGAGTCTGACCGGCATCCTAGAATTTATATTAAAAATCAGTCATTTTGCTTCTCAGCAATTGTCACTTTGAAAAAAAATCAGTCACCAGCCGCATAAATAGCAAAGGATGCAAATAAGCATTTCAACAAAAAAATAAAAATGAAAGGCGGTCAGCAAACGTTTAACGAGGGGCCCAACTTATCTCATAATTAAAGCAATGAAAATCAAGCTCCAGATACCTTTTGACATTTACCAGATTGACACAGATGAGAAAAGCTTTACGTTAACCAGACTGACCTCAGCCCAACGTGGGGAAGCAGACTTTCATCTCATCATACCTTGTTGATAATGGTGTGATTTGGTACAGTGGAGAACAGTTTGGCAGACTACCAAAATTTGAAAAGCAAATGTTCTTTGACTAAGCAATTCTAAATTTATATTCTGGATATATAAATAACAAAACAAAGATTAGTAAAAGAGATTAACTTAAAATTGAGGTTTACTTTATATATGAAAAAATTCGCCCTTTTTAATGTGCAGTTCAGTGAGCTTCGAGAAACACATAATTGCCACAACAAGCAAGACACAGAACAATGTCATCATTTCCCCCAAATCCCTTAGTACCCTTTTGTAGTTAACCCCTCCCACCCATAGCGCTGCTAACCATTTCCCCTATAGTTTTGTGTATTCCAGAATGTCCTATAATTGGGTAAACACTATAGAGTCTTTTGAATCTGGCTTCTTTCAATTTAGTATAATGCACCTGAGATTCGTCCATGTTTTGTATCAGTTGTTTGTTCCCTTATATTGTGAGTAGTATTCCTTTGTATCAATGTACCACAGTTTGCTTATCCAATCCCTAGTTAAATGATATTTGGATTGTTTCCAGTTTTTGGCAATTACTAATGAAGCTGCTGTAAACATTCATGTACAGGTTTTTGTGTGAATATATGTTTTTATTTCTTAGGTAAATATCTAGGAATGAGGTTGTGAAATAATATGATAAGTGTATGTTTAGCTTTAAAAGAAAATGCCAAGCAGTTCTGCAACACAGTTGTTCTGTTTTGCATTCTCATAACCAATATATGAAAGTTTCAGTTACTCTTCAATTTTATCAGCACATGCTATGGTTAGTTTTTTTTTTTAAATTATTTTTCCCCATTTGAATGCATAGTGGTATCTTATTGTGGTTTTAATTCTCATTTATTTGGGGACTAATGGTCTTGAACATCTCATGTGATGGTTTGCCATCCATACATCTTTGGTGATGTGTCTGTTCACATTTTTTGTTTTCTTATTATTGGGTCTTGATACTTCTTCATGTATTCTGGATACATGTCCTTTGTCAGGTATGTATTTTACAAATATTTTCTCTCAATATTTGGGTTTTGTTTTCCTTTTCTTAACAATATCTTTTGAAGAGTGGAAGTTTTAAATGTTGCTGCATTTAAACTTACCAATGTTTTATTTCATGAATCATGCTTTTGATGTTGTATCTAACAAATCTTTGCCTAACCCAAAATCACACATATATTAGAGAAATGTTATAGTTTTAAGTTTTTTTTAAAAAAATTAATTAATTAATTAAATTTAAATCCTCACCCAAGGATATTTTTCCATTTATTTTCAGATAGAGTGGGAGGGAGGGGTAGAGAGAAAGAGAGAGGGAGATAAACACCAATGTAAGAGAGAGACATCGATTGGTTGCCTCAGTTTGCTTATCCTTTGGTTGCCTCCTGCAATTGACTAGGGCTGGGGACCAACTGCAACCGAGGTAGTGCCCTTGACTGGAATTGAACCTGAGACTCGGTCCGCGGGCTGATGCTCTAACCACTGAACCAAACCATCAGGGCTTAAGTTTTATTTTTAGGTCTGTGATCCATTTTGAATAAATTTTAGTATTGCTTTTAATAGAAAATACTCCATATATAATCTAAATGAATTTATTAAAAAACGCTATATCTATACAATGGAAAACTATGCTATTGTTTGAAAGCATGAACTATATCTGTATGAGGAAAATCTCTCAGAGGAAAATCTCTGAAATATATTGTGTGAAAAAGCAGGTTGCAAAGCACCATGCCATTTTACTGTGCTGGGGAGGAGTAGGTAGGTATGAAGGATAGAAAGTTTGCATAGGCCTAAAAAAATGAGACCTACAAAAATCTATTAACTGGTTCTTGGGGGCAAGGGGAATTTTGATGTTAAAGATGTTTATATTCTTTAGTATAATTTGACAACCCCCCATGGCAAGTATTTCTTGCATAATAAATATATAAAATTAAAAAAACTACCATAAAATAATTTTTAGACATTAAAATCATGAAAATAAATGTAATACTACCTTTTCCCCCTTTAGATCAGTTATTCATTATTACTAAACAGAAGAGGATTCATTTTCTTTGATTCTTCTATTAAAAAATACCAGATTATACCCTGGCCAGTTTGGCTCAGCGGTTTGAGCATCGGCCCGTGGACCAGAGAGTCCTGGGTTTGGTTCCTGCTAAGGGTCTGTACCTGGGTTGCAGTTTGTCCCCGGCCCTGGTTGGTGTCGTGTGGGTGGCAACCACTTGATGTGTCTTTCTCACATTGGTGTTTTTTCTCTCTCTCTTCTTCCCTCTCTCCCTCCCGCTCTATCTGAAGATAAATAAAACAAAACAAAAAACCAGATTACAGCAGCCATGTGTTCCCATTTTGGTTTTAAATTATCCATGATGGTTGCATTTCTCACAAGCCTATATGAAAAAGTTTAATTTTGTTTGAAGTGAATGTTATAAAAAGTTGGTACATGTTTGTAGTGACTTGTTACGACTTAGAATTTGGTTATATATCCATCTATTTAATGGACTGTCATGAAGTAAATAATCTATTTTAATGTAATCTTTAATGTAATAAGAAATGGTCATCATGCAGTGTTTTGTTTTGTTTTTTAATCCTTACCTGAGGATATTTTTACATTTCTCTTCAGACAGAGTGGGACAGGGGTTGAGAGGGGGAGAGAGAGAGAGAGAAACATCAGTGTGAGAGAGACACATTGATTGCCATGCATATGACTCCAACAGGGGCTGAGAATGAACCGCAACCGAAGTACATGCCCTTGTCTGGAATAGAACCCGGGATCTTTGGTTCTCGGGCCGATACTGAGCCAAATCGGCCAGGGCGGTCATCATGCAATGTTAAGTGAGAAATATATTAGTCCAATTCTATTGAAAAGACATAGCGCAACAATGGAGAAGAAATGTGCCAACAATATTTAGCTTAGGGTGGTTGGTGTATATTGAGTTACATTTATTTATTTTTGAATACATTTTAATATATTCTAGAAAATTTTTTACAATAAATAAATTCTTTAATTATGAATTTAAGATATCTTTAATAGAAAACCAGAAAAACAGATAAGCAAAAGGTAAAAAAAAAGGACACAAGAACATCATGAAGGCATCAATCCATAATCCATCTCTGTTACTTCTTTGACTAGTGATAATTTTTCAGTTCCCTTTCTGTATATTGCTTTAATTAGAGAAATTACACTTGTTTTTTCAAATAATTTTTTAAATTGATTTTAGAGAGAGAGGAAGGGACAGGGAGAGAGAGAAACATCAATGAAAGAGAACGTTTACTGGGCACCTCCTGCATGCCCCAACTGGGGATCAGGCCCACAACCTGGGCATGTGCCCTGACCAGGAATTGAACCAGCGACCGTTTGGTGCATGAGTCAATGCTCAACCACTGAGCCACACTGGTCAGGCTACACTTGTTTTTTCTTTAGAATATAATGACAATTTGTATCTTGTTTTTTTTATGGTAGGTAAAATTCCTTGTTTATGCCCTTAGCCGGTTTTTTATTGGAATGTTTCTTTTATTTATTGGCAAGAGCTCTTTAAATATGTAAATTTTTAAGCTTTTGTGTATTATCTAAGTTGTATATATTTTCCCCAGTTTCACAGGTGCCTTTTTTTTTTGTTTTTAATCCTCACCCAAAGATATTTTTTCATTGATTTTCAGAGAGAGTGGGAGGGAGGGAGAGAGAGAGAAACATTGATGTGAGAGAGACACATTTATTGGTTACCTCCTGTACAACCCCAATCAGGCCTGGGGATCGAACTGCAACCGAGGTATGTGTCCTTGACTGGGATTGAACCCACGATTCTTTGGTCTGCAGGCCTATGCTCTAACCACTGAGAAAACCGGCCAGGGCTTCAGGTGCCTTTAAAAAACATAATATATGTTTATTGATTTTATTTTTTAGAGAGAGAGGAAGGAAGCTGGAGGGAGGGAGAGAGAGAGATCATTGATGTGAGAGAGAAACATTGATCTGTTGCTTCCCATGAGCACCCCGACTGGGGAATCGAACTTGGGTATGCGCCCTGACCAGGAATTGAACCTGCAGCCTTTCAATGCACAGGACAACGCTTAACCAACAGTGTCATATCGGCCATGGCTCTCAGGTGCCTTTTAATTTAATTTTGAGTGTGTGTGTGTGTGTATATGTGTGTGTGTGTGTTTCGGAGCATTAAACAGTAATCAGATCTCTTAGTCTCTTTCTTTTTTGTTTTTGCTGTTGGTGTCATGCTTAGTAAGCCATTAACTTCAATATCATGTAAATTACCTTTGTTTCCTTCAAATCCCTTGGAGATTTCATACTTTATATTATTTATTATTTTTAAAATTAGGTTTTACTTGTATTAAAGTAATATAATAAAAATGTCAAACTATAATATAACATTTATAATGGAAAAAGAAAAAGAAGCAATCCCTAGTCTCATTCTCCAGAGGCAACTATCGGAACTTGTAAATATTATGCTTATTCAACTGTTTGGCTTTTTCAAAATTTTTTTCACATCCTCGTCTGTGGACGTGTTTATTGATTCTTAGAGACGGAGGGGGAGAGGGAGAGAGAATCATTGATTGGTTGCCTGTCATATGTGCCCTGACTGGGAATCAAACCCTCAACCTTTTGGTGTATGGGATGCTGCTCCAACCAACTGAGCCACCCGGCCGGGGTGGTTTTATCAATTTTTGGACATCCTTTGACTTTCCATTATGACAGATTAGATGTTTTATTCTACCTCTCTTTTTATATACTCCTCCCGACTTACACTCAATATAATTGAGGCACAGTATTTGGTTAAATCAACATTTAGTGCTATGTATATGATCCCAATTCAGTGCCATTTGCCCACACTTTTTTTCTATATGGCCAAATTCAGAGATTGTCAGTTACATCCCCATTCACCCTAGGAACTGTATTTAATTTAATTTATTATTTTCAGGAGCAAAAACAATAGAATAGACCTATTTCTAAAGCAAATTGAAAGATTTCTGGACCTTTTAGCTGATCCATATCACTGACTGCTCCCTGGGCCTCTCCCTTTCTGACATGTATTATCCTGGCTCTGCACAGGCTTCCACGTCACTGCCCCTTCTGTAAGCAGCAGTAAGTCTCCCTGACAGGCTGCTTAGACATTTACAAGACATTTGGCCTTTCAGTGCCTGTGCTTTTTGATTGTGACATGACGGGCCAGGGTGATCTGTCATCCCACAATAGTAATGTCAGTGCCTTCCTGAGTGAGTCAGAAGTCCTTTTGCAGAGTTGAATAACAGATCAATGCCTTTTCATTTGCTGAGATGGAAAGAGTTGACCTACTGGTCCCTTAAGCATCAGCTTTGGCACACTGAATGATTGGAGGCCAAATCATGTTATCCCTCTGTGTGTCTTGGAGAAGCATCAGGTGGTTTATGTTTGTGCTTCCTCGTATGTCCAAAACCTCCCTGGACTCTGCCTGTGCTGTTTAAAAAACAACAACAGAGAAACATGAGTCATTTTGTAGGGTAAGAAAAGGACATTGTTACACTTGCTGAGCCACAAGCTCTTGCCTTTCTTCATTCTGCTAGGAGAGAAGTTTAACTCATAATTGATAGGAATTTAGGAAAGGATTAGTTGGAAGATACCCATTCACATATAAAGCTAAATATTGAGAAGGCAAAATCTGGAACTCTCCTTATATTTCTTCCATTTTATTCAACATGCATGACATCCTCACATTCCCGAACAAATCTGGATGGGTCTTGATGAACAGCAATTTGAAAGGATCTATATGCCTACAACACCCAAGTTCTCCCGCTAGTTTAAACCACCCGACCTACTATTTTCTGCTTCAGAAAGCAGCACGGGGAATAGAGCAGCCAGAGTGGTGAGAGGCCTGTGGGTGGTGTCACACAAAAAATAGTTAAAGAGATTGGTGATGTATAGCCGGATGATGGACGTTTGTCCCCTAGTAGAGAAGGTAGGCTTTGTTCTCTGTTGACTCGGAGGGCAGAAGTGGTATCATGGATCTTAGAGGAGAAGCGTTGATAGAAAAAGAGCAGTGACCCAGAGTTAGGCGCTCTGTGGAAATGAGGCTCCAAGGAGGAGAGGAGGAATCGGAGTTGAGAGGGAAAACTAGGTAGAAGGCTGAGTTAGAATGGGAAAGGCTGGAATAAGGAAGGCAAAACCAGAAGAAAGTAGAGGCCTTAGCCAATCATTGTGACAAACATGAATCTTGGTTGACAGGCGCGGTGCTCCATGAGGGTATTCTTAATTTAAGGACACAGTAAATAAATGTCTCTCTCAGCATTCAAGATGGCATTCATTTCTGCATTCTTTTTTTAGTCACTTTCAGCATCTAACATCCTAGACAGCATGTATTCTACCTATGGTGACATTAGATTTATTGATCCACAGACACAGACATCTTTTCATGAAATTAGGGTAGTGTGACTTTGGTAGCAACATAATCCTCATAACAAAGGCCCTAAATTGCATGTTAACACTAATGAAACACTTAAGTACACGTCATAACTTGCTTTAAAATTTTTGTTTCAGGATATCAATGGATATTATAAAGGGGAACTTAGATGGAATTTCAAAACCAGCCTCAAATTCAAGAACACGTCCTGGGAGCAGATGTTCAAATGCTTCTTTGGAGGTGCTGTCACCAGAGCCAATATCCTTTAAGGTACTTTGCTGTTTAGAAATGATTTAAACTCCTCTTCCTGCCCTCTAGCTATTGATAAACCAAGGTTGTTAACATCCCGTTGTAAGGTTCCTCTTTAGAGGGTGTGCTGGGAGTATTACCAGAGAATTGCACAGGTGGAATTTCTTCATTGTTAATGGGAGTGGGGGTTCTTGTGATATCTTGAGAAAAAGAATTTTCTAAGACTTGCATGGGAGAATGAGTGATTTTTATTGTGTAGAGTTATATCCCACAGTTTCTAAAGTCCCATTTCCCTTAAGCCAGTCCTGGAAAAGGGGCAGCTGGGGTTTTAGCAGAGCTATAAGCAAAGCCTGTGTCCAGGGTTTCTGTTCCATGGTAGAGTTGAGTCCGATGTAGCATCATGCATCAGGCTAGGCACAGTCCATCAGTCCATTGTGTGGAATCCACATGGCTGTGGGCCATGTGGTTAAAATGCAGAGGAATGCTTCCCCTACAAAAAGAGAGCCAGGAGCATGGACAAGCAAGAGAGAAAGTCAAGAGAGAGAACTCCCTTTGTTTAGGAGTTTAAATAGCTCAGACTTTGCACCCTTGCAGTAGCCACATCTATTCTGGCCAATTGCCAGTTTTCAGGTGTGATTGACAGGCAAGCACCTTCTCATGTCACCCAGACCTTACTGGGCCTGTGTCTAAATTGCAGCTTTCCTTTGTGCCTTTCCAGTTAATTAATAACCAGGTTATTACAATGGTATCAGGGACACTCACATATTTCTTGGATTTTACCTTAGAACATTTTATATGAGATACTGTTTCCTTCTTTATCTTCCTTGCCTCCTCCTCCTCTTTTTTTTTGAGTGAGGCTTATTTGTTCACAGTTATACTTTGTTAATGCACATTTGTTACCTTTGTTTTGTTAGGAAAGTTTTGTATTCCTAAGTCTGCTATGCCACCATTGACTCTTACTGTGAAAGAGACTCGTCAATCTAAAAAATATAGTTTGGGTAAAGACCACATAGTATCTTTAGAAGGTATATTATATGGCAGTGACTTCCTTTTCTTTTCTTTAATTGTCGTCTTTTCTTTTCTTAAAATACATAAACTTGTTTTTTAAAAAAGAATCATTTTTTCCATTTGTGACATGGAACAATTTATTTGTTTTAGGGTGGGACAAACAACAATTTTGAAACTTATGGTAGAAAACACCTGCAAATCTATGAATCCATACTTAATTATTCTTTTGATTTATGGACTGGACTCTGCATTATGAAACTTAGAGTTTTTGTCTATCATGCTTTAGTGCAGTAATAGAAAGCACTCTAAACGTTTCCAGCAGAAAGGGATCAAATACAAGAAATTCATGTTCTCAAAATCACAACCACAAAATTGATGATTAGACATACAGAGGTTATGTCTTTGATATTTCCTGCCAACTTCATATCAGGAACTTAGGAAGGTGGCTTCTGCCTCACTTCTGCGGTCTAATTTGTGCAGACATATCTAACTGGATGACCCTAACGTGCATCCAGAACCCTCGCTGGCAGTGGCTTTGTAAGAGACAGTTTCTAGCTTAGCTTGTCTCATTCCATCTAATCCTGTGTCATTACTATACTGTGTGTTAACTCTTGTAGCTTTGTAATAGTTCTTGATATCTGGCAGGACGGCGCTCCCCATCTTTTTCTTTTCTAGGACTGTTTTAGCTATTCTTGGCTTTTTATTCTTTTTGTATTTTTAGATCAGGTTTTCAAGTCCTATGACAAATTGGGGCTTTGATTGAATAGCTTTGAATTTATAGATTAATTTGGAAAGAATTTCTAACTTCATCATATTAAATCTTCTCATCTATTAACATTGTATCTTATTAACTTTTTTGTTTTTTACTTAGTAATTTTATATACTGTAAAATTCACTCTTTTTGATATATAGTTTTGAGCTTGGCAAATGTGAAGAGTGATACCATCATAAGACATAGAACAGTTATCCCTGAAAAATTCCCTCCTGCTTACACCTTTGTAAACACTGTACTATTCTTTTTTCTTTTAAGTTAAAAAAATTAAAAAACATTTTTTTATTGATCTTAGAGAGAGAAAGAGAGAGGGAGATAGAAAGAGAGAGAAACATTCTTGTAAGAGAAACATTGATTGATTGTCTCCCGTGCATGCCCCGATGGAGGTAGAACATGAATGGGAATCAAACCCACGATCCTTTGGGGCACGGGAAGATGCTTCAACGAACTGAGCCACACTGGCCAGGGCTCTACTATTGTTATTCCTGGAGACTCCTGATCTGTTTTTCCTTTTCTAGAAGGTCATGTGAATGAAATTAAAAAGTATATAGATTTTGAGTCTGTTTTTTTTTTTTATCCTCACCCGAGGACATTTTTTTTTTCCATTTTTTGTTCCGATAGAGAGGGAGGGAGGGAGGGAGGGAGAGAGAGAGAGAGAGAGGGAGGGAGAGAGAGAGAGAGAGAAAAACATTGACGTGAAAGGGACACATCGAGTGGCTGCCACCCGCATGACCAACCAGGGCTGGGGACAAACTGCAACCGAGGTACGCGCCCTTAGTGGGAACCAAACCTGGGTCTCTCTGGACCACAGGCTGACGCTCTAACCACTGAGCAAAACCGGCCAGGGTTTGAGTCTGGCTTTTGTCTATTGGCACAATTCATTTGAGACTCCTCTATGTTATTGCATTTATCAATACAGTAGTTCCTTCCTTTTTATTGCTGAGTGATATTCCATTGTATGGATATACCACAGTTTGTTTATCCATTCCCCAGTTGAGGAACATTGGGTAGTTTGCAGATTTCAATGGTTATGAATAAAGCTGCTATAAATATTTATATATTGAATTTTTTGGGAGTATAGATTTTTTATTTCTCTTAGATAAATACCTAGGAGTGGGACCACTGGGTTGTATGGTAAGTATATGTTTAACTATAAGAAACTGTCAAACTGTTTTGGTTCCCACCAGAAACGTATGAGAGTTCCAGCTGTTTTTAAAAATAACCAATCTAATAGGATGACAATAGTAACTCTTTGTGGTTTTAACTTGCATTTCCCTGGTGACTAATAATGTTGAATATGTTTTCATGTGCTTATTTGCAGTCCACATATCTGTTTTGGAAAGCATATGTTCAATTTATATGTATATATATATTTTATAAATATATATATATTTTTAATTTGGTTTTCTTATTGTTGACTTTTGAGAGTACTTTATCTATTTTAGATAGAGTCTTTTGCCAGATATATGATTTGCAAATATTTTCTCCCAGTCTGTAGCTTGACTTTTCATTCTTTTAACTATGTGTTTGGAAGAGCATTTTAACATTTTCTTAAGTGCAATTTATTAATTTTTTTATTTGGAAGATTGTCGGTTTTTTTTTTTTTTGTACCTAAGAACTCTTTGTTGAATCCTAAGTCCCAAAGATTTTCTCCTGTTTTTTTCTGAAAGTTTTATACTTTTATGTTTTACATTTAGGTACTTGTAGTCTCTTTTGTAACCAATGAAAAGGTTTTTGTAAACCAAATATTCATTTGAGTGTGGGTTGTCTAATTTAGATATTTTTTTCTGGTTGCTTTGCTTTCTCTTTGTCTTTGTATCTACTATTACTCACCTAGGTATGGATTTATTTAATTTATCCTTCTGGAGGCTAGTACTTTTATAATCTAAGAATTTGTGTTTTATTTATTTTCAAAAGTTCTCAGCTATTGTGTTTTCACATTTCAAATATTGTCTACTTTTTTTTTCTATTTCATCATCCTGGAAGTTATATTAAATGTCTATTGAATCTTTCCCTTCTATCTTTTATGCCTCTTATGTTCTTTTTAATATTTTCTATTCATTTATTTCTCTGTGCTCTATCCAGGGGAATTTTTAACATATATTTTCTAATTTTTGAATGATTTCTTATACTACGTGAACTTTGCTCTTTAACCCATCCATTGAGTTTTAAAATTTAATGCTTTATTTTTAATTTCAAGATGTTCTTTTTAATCCATCTGTTCTTTACAGTATCTTGATCTCATTTTTTGTTGTTGTTGTTGTTGTTAATTCTCACCCGAGTATACTTTGTGCATTGATTTTTTTTTTTTTTTTTTAAGAGAATGTGGAAGGGGGAGAGAGAGAGATGTGAGAGAGACACATCAAATAGTTGCCTCCTGCACATGCCTAACCAAGGCTGAGGACTGAACCTGCAACCCAGGTCTGTGCCCTTGGCTGGGAATCAAACCTGAGACCTTTCGGTACACAGACTGATGTTCTAACCACAGAGCTACACCAGCCAGGGCTCATGTTTTTAAATTTATTTTGAAAATACCAACTAAAATATTGATATGATTCTCATTATCAGCATTTTAATATCTTAAGTTCTTTTGTTTATTGTGATACTTGGTTATTGTTGGTAATACGTTAATGACTTTTAAACTTTTAGAATGTGAGCTTTAATTTTGGGAATTTTATGGAACCTGATTTGAAACTATGTCTTTCAGAGCAGGTTTGTGTTTGCTTCCACCACATGCCTCAGAGATACATCACTAGCATGCATTTCTCTCTTTCTCTTTTTACCCCGTTTTTCAGCTCTAAGCATCCTAGAGCACGTGAATAATATAAATTGGAACCCAGACCCGCATGAAACATGACACTGTGGTTTCAAATTCTCAGGGAAGGCTTTTCCCCACTTGTACCCCAGACGTGTTTTTTATTTTAGCCTGTGCTGTTGGTTAGATGTATTTTTCACCCAGGATGCATCTTTTTGAGGCATCTAGCTTTATGGAGCAAGAGACGGAAGGTTCCTTTCCATCTTGTTGTCTTGTGTGGGTCTGAGGCCTACTCTTCTATCCCTGCATGGGTGTCAAAACCAAAGCCCATAGCTTTCTGAGGCCAGCACATCCTCATTGGCCTCTCTTTGTCACTCCTACCCTTGCCCCCAACTGAGGCAGCTGCTTTAAGGATTTTCAAGGCTTCTGTTCTAGTTTTCAGTGTCCTTTTAATGTCTGCCTACTGGCAGTTTCCCCAGTGTTCTC